ACCATTTTCTCCTGCGACGAATCGGAATCTGAGTATAGTTCTTGTCTAACATAACTAAACTCTCTTTCGATACCATCCATGACTCCTATTTTGTAATTACCAACCGAATAGAAAACATATAAATCGATTCTCGATTCTACACATAATCGAGTTAAATTCTACAAAGTTATCTAAATAGAAAGTACAAAATCAGAAGACAAAGACGAACGAACCTTGTTTAGCGTTGATTGAAAACATGCAGCAGCAAATCACTTGTAGTTGTCCCAGAGAATACTACACGAAGACGACGAAGACGACGAGATAACAATATCGAATTCGAAATTGGAAATCTTTTTGTTTTTAAATTTTGTCACCACAATTTTGACTGATGATCCGATTTATTCGGATTTAACCCGATATGACAGATTGGGTGTGGATCTTGGTGGTTAGGTTCGTAAATATCAAACTTTACTAAGGAGAAAGGACTCCCAAGTATTTGACCATTTTTGTTCCTTTTTTTCCTTAAAATAAATCAAAAACAAAATAAATATTATGACGAAGAGATATGAGAATTTTTTTAATGTGGAAGGAGTACGCGAGATTATTCCCTCTCTTGCTGTTCACTTATATACATGTACAAAAGCATTAACCTAATGCCATTAAGATTACGGTTTTGTCTTTTGATGTGGGCTTAACGTTAGAGACATTGATTTTTTTGTAATTTTTACGGTTTTTGAATTTATCTATTATTTTGTTAGCCTTTGGCTTTGGCAACAAATTTTTGGAATTTTGCAATATAGTTTTTTTAATAAAAAATTCTGTGCATTTTCTCAAGGATTTGTCTTAAAAATATCCCCTGGACCCTTGAGTGTTGGCCCCTCTCGCTATCCCTTAGAGCACCTCCGACAGCAGGATGAGAAGATTTTAATCAATAAATTAAATAAAAAAAATTAAAAAAGTATGAAAGAGATTAGAAGAAGCTCTAAAAGCTCTTATATTAGAGTCCAATGAGAGAGGGGATCTAACACCTGTCTATTTTTTATTGGTTTGATTGTTTAACAATAACAAAATTTAAATTAAATAATTAAATTATATAAAAATAATTATATTTTATTTTTGAGAACCTCCTTTTGAAGATCTCATTGATGGAGGTTGTCTTAGAACCGGCCCACAGTTATGTCCTTTTCTTCTCTAGTTTGTAAGCACTTTCTCAAAACGAAGACAACTTTTAGTCTCAAGTCTTAACAACTTGAAAAAGGAGATAATGGTGATGTTAAATAAACTGTTGACAAACAGAAAACGAGATTTATATTAGCACTCGGCTGCCTTTCCCCCTCCTCCTCCAACTCTGACTTTCTTTGCATTTAATCCACATAGAAAACAAACGACGCAGAAACAAACCCCAATCTCTAGCTTAACTATAAAAACTCTAGTTCAGAGCAGGCCTGATTCTCTTCTCGCCTCCTCCTCGTTTGGCTGAGTCTGCCTCTGACGAAGTTTCCATGGATTTGGAGAAGTTGTTAGAGAGATTAATATATAAACGACCCTCCTCATGTTATTGTTCAATTCTCGGATCAAACCAACGTTTCGTTCGAGGTTGTCTGGAATTCTGGACTCATGATTTTGGTTTATCTCGTTAATCAGTAATCTGTTTTGGTCCAATATGTTTTGCATCTGAACAAAGCTATTTTGAAATGTCTGCAGAATCTTCCGGTTGATCTGATGAGCTCCATTTCCCATTAATCTAGAAACAGTGTTTCCATCCATAATTGTTATCTGCAAGATCAAAGAAATCGAGGAAGAAGATATAACAAATCCAAGGGATAGGTTGATGATGATGCAAATTATGTGATCTTAAAAGGGTTTTATGGTGATGTTGGTACTTTGTCGTTGTTTTTAGACATGATGTATAATTGTCATGTGTAGACAAAAAAAACGCATCACACTATTTCTATAAAGATCAACTTTTTCTTGAGTTTTGTAACAAATTTATTTATTTGCTTCATAACCAAAAAAAGATTAGCAAAATTAGCAATAACAATAATGTGAAAAGACCATAAATAATAAGTGGACCGTCTGGAACTATATAGAGAAAGAGTAGCAAAAAATGCTTTGTGATTTTAATTTTGGGACCAAAAGAAGAAACTGTTGACCCAATTAGTTTCAGACAAAATGTGCAGAGAGGATGAGACATTTGTGAGTTCTGCTCCTTGTTTCAGACAAAACTCATTACTATTCACAGCCTATCAAACCATGAAAAAAGAACTACCATATATTAATTTTTTTCATTTAATTAATATAATTAATATATAAAAATACTAATATACGTAGGTTACGTAATACATGTATAAGGCATTATCAGAATGAATGTTATACCACTGTTTTTATACTGTTTTTTTATAACAAATATGATTCAATTTCAATTTAGATTTGGGTTGAATCCATCGAATTTGGTATAAAAAAAAAACTCATGATGAACATAATCATAAAATATTCTTTTTTTTTCAAACATGTTTTTTAAGAGCATTTATCCATAGTCTTTCACAAGAGTCCCTTACAACTGAAATTTATACATATAACATCCTAAATATTGGAAAAATCTCTCAAACGAAAAAACTTTTGGGTAAGTTTCACCAATATTTCATAGAGATATCTACTTGATAGTTTTTTTTTTTTAATTTATGAGAAGTTCATGGGAGAGACTTTGATGGAAATACCTTAAGAATGACGAACGTTTACTTTTTTAAACCAGAAAGTGAAAAGGAGACGAAAAAAAAAACAAAACTAAGATTCTGAAGCCAGATTCCGAAGCTGGTGATATAGTGGAACCTGACGCAGCTGTTCCTAAATTCCGTAGAAGTACAAGACTCATGAATAGAAGGGTTTACTACAACAATATAGCCGTCGCTCACCCAGCTCAAGTTCCTTGTTCGATTGACCTTCTACCAGATGAACATAGGGCTTTTCTTGGGAAAGTGGAACGATATGAGATTCCTCAGAGCTATAAAGATGCTAAAGACAAAGAAGTCTGGACTAATGCCATTCAAGATGAAAAGGAGGCCATCGAGAGGAACCACACTTGGGATGAAGCTGACTTACCAAAAAAAAAAAAAGAAGGCTGTAAGCTCCAAATGGGTCTTCACTATCAAATTCAAGAGCAGAGGAGATATTGAGAGGCACAAGGCTCGCTTGGTGGCCCGAGGCTTCACTCAGACATATGGAGCTGATTACACAGATACATTTGCACCACTGGCCAACCTCAAGACTGTAAGAGTTGTACTTTCATTAGCTACTAACCTGTCTTGGGATTTGTGGCAGATGGATGTCAAGAATGCTTTTCCTCAAGGTGAGCTTGAAGAAGAAGTTTACATGCGACCTCCACCTGGTCTTGAAGACACTATTGCACCAGGCAAGGTCTTACGACTTCGCAAAGCCATTTATGGCCTTAAGCAATCACCTTGTGCATTACTCTTAGAGATCATGGCTTCAAGAAATCTGAATCAGACCACACCTTGTTCACTCTCCAAGGACCTAAAGGTATTGTTGTTGTGCTCATATATGCTGATGATCTTATCATCTCCGGAGACAACAAGGAAGGTATTGAATCGACTAAGTCCTTTCTTAAATATGTTTTTTACATTAAAGATCTTGGAGAGTTGAAATATTTTCTTAGAATTGAAGTGGGCCGCTTTGATGATGGTCTTTTCTTGTCACAAAGAAAATATATTTTGGATCTCTTGAGTGAAACAGGTTTTCTTGAAGCTAAGCCAGCCAAAACTCCACTCGAAGAAGGTTATCAGGTCAATCGAAAGGGGGAGACATCGGATGAGCTGTTCAGTGACACTCCCAAATACCGCCGGATTGTAGGTAAACTGATCTACTTGACATTGACTACCTGATCTCTGCTTTGCTGTGAATCAGGTGAGCCAGCATATGCAAAAGCCAACCGTACATCATTGGGGTATGGTGGAACGCATCTTGAGGTATCTCAAAGGCTCATCAGGCCAAGGCATATGGATGGGCAAGAATGACAGCACAGAGATAGTGGGATACTGCGATGCTGATTGGGCTGGAGACAAAAATGATAGGAAGTCCACAACAGGATATTGCACATTCATTGGTGGCAATTTGGTGACTTGGAAGACAAAGAAACAGAAGGTGGTGTCTTGTTCGAGTGCAGAATCTGAGTACCGAGCCATGAAGAAACTTGCAAATGAGCTTACCGGGCTCAAAGCATTGCTCAAAGACTTCAATATTGAGTCTTCAAGGCCCATGACATTCCACTGTGACAATCAAACAGCCATACACATTGCCAACAACTCGGTGTTCCATGAAAGGACCAAACACATCGAGATTGACTGCCACAAGGTCAGACAGAGGATTGAAGAAGAAGCTATTCTGCCTTGCTATACACGCAGTGAAGATCAACGGGCAGATATCTTCACCAAAGTCGTGAGCCTTAAGGTCTGTGATCACATCTACAGCAAACTTGGTCTTGTGGACATCTCGCATGCTTGAGCTTCCCTAACTCATGGACGCCATACTCTTTTTCCCTTAGCATAGTTTTTCCCATGTGGTTTTATATGCTAAGGTTTTAAATGAGGTGGTACTCCATGAGTCTCTAAGCTTAGCCTTCGTATCCTACGGTTAAGCTTAAGGGGGAGTATAAAGCATGGTCCATATTCAGCAAGGACTTTATAAGGGTTTAGAAGGTTTTATAAGGCTTTAGAAGCTTTTAGAAGGTCTTTATAAAAGCCCATTAGGCAGCCCATATGTATTAGGGTTCTCTTGTTCTCTTGTATCCCTTTATAAAACACTTGTAGCCACCATTATTCTAAATCCAAGGAGAAAAAAAGTTTTTTTTTTCTTCTCTGTTTCAATCTACTTTCTCTTAGCTTATTTACAATTCTATTCCGCAAATCTCAACAAGTTAAAATCTATGCCTTCTGGTTCTATTACTTCATGGTAAGAATGCAAGTCAGCTTTCCTGAACCACTTCTACACCAAGTCGAGATTAAACCAGCTGAGAAAGAACATACAAAGTTTCCAACAAGGCCCTGTAGTATCATTCTATGAACCTTGGGAGTGATTTAAAGAGTATGAGAGAGACTGCCCTCATCATGGTTTCTCGAGAGCAAACCTGATAAGCACCTTCTACAGAGGACTTCAGCAGAAGTATTAACTTTCTCTTGACACTCCAAGCAATGAAGATTTCAATTCGAAAACTATACCACAAGGGAGGGCACTCATCGAAAATCTGGCTGTAGCTAACAGCAACAACAACCCTGAGTATGACAGATCAAAGAAAACTATCATTAATCATGAATCAAGGGAGATTTCTGAGCTAAAAAGCATGGTAAGTCAACTTCTCAAGTCTCAAAATAAGAATATACATGTTTGTGATATTGCTGCGGAAATGAAGAAGATGGAAGATATGAAGATGATGGCATATATCAAGAATAAGAAATCAATTTCATGGGAGCTCAGGCATACCAGAACCAATTCAGCCCAGCTTTCAACCACAACTTCAGGAATGCCAACTTCAACAATCTCTCATACAGGAGCCAGGGAGCCGAGAACTCCCAGAACCAGCCTTATCCGCAGCAACAAAGGAATATTCCAAACAAGTTCCAAAATGGGAACTATGGAGGAGGAAATTTCCAACAAAGACCATCTTTCAATCCTCAACAAGCACAGACCAGCTCATTAGAAGCAACCCCAACCTAATCCAAATGGACTGGGGAAAAAAATAATTAGGACTCATGAAAAAATTGATAATAACATGCAAGAAAATGAGAAGTCAAACTATGATGCAGACCAGCTTGAACAAACTATGATGCAAACATCTCAAGGCAATGAGAAGTCAATCAGGGAAATGGGAGTGAGGATCGATTGTATGTACAATGAATTAAATGGGAAGTTTGAATCTCTTGCAACCCATGTCAAGAAGTTGAAACATCAGATAGCCAGACTGCAGATTCAATGAAGAGACAACAGGAGTCTTACCAGGAAGAGTGGACGATAATCCAAAGAAGTTCTGCAATGCTATGACAGCAGTTTTGGAAGAAGAACCTGTCGCAGACTTTAAGAAAAAGTCGACACCTGAACCTCTCATGAAGGACTCTAAAACAGAGTATGAGAGAAGCCAAGTCATTCCGGTTAAGGTACCAAAACGCTTGAATGAAGACTCAAAAAATCTAAGGATCCAGGGCGTTTTTCTTTCACTTGTGTTCAATTTTTGGAATTGAATTTTCAGATTGTTTATGTGATTCTGGTGCTAATGTGAATGTTATGTCAAAATCTGTTGCTGAGAGACTTGGTATAGGAACATTTTTCCCATCTCCAGTAAGGATAATCTTTGGTGATTCATCTCAAAAGAGGACAGAATGAATGTTCCAGGACTTGCCACTAGTCATTAAAAAAAAAAATTATCCCAGCCAATTTCCAAGTCTTAGAGATGGACCAAGACAAAGAGAGACCCCTGATATTGGGTCGCCCATTCTTAGCAACTGTAGGTGCTATTATTGACCATTCAAATTGCTGTTTATTTTTTTAAAATGTGGACAGGAAAAAGTTATATAAGACCACACCGGATCAAGCTCCAAACCGCAAGAGCAAAGAGAAGATGTTGGATGACAAAAAGGAACTAAAAGCACTTGCATACAGACAATTTAAAAAGATCAAGATAGTGGTGCCACCAGACATCATCAAGGAGAAAAAGAAAATTCTTGAAGAAATTGTTGAGAAGACAAAACATGTCTTCAAAGATGCAAAAATCTTTAAGAAAGGAAAAGAGATTGTGATTCAAGATGAAGGAGATCCAAAGTTCAAGCTAAGGAGGATCCCAAGGACTCTTTATTCAAGAGATCCTACCTCTTTTTCTCAATCCTAATCCTACCAAGGGTCTAACTAAAAGACTTTAAACAAAAGCGCTTGATGGGAGGCAACACATTGGGTATGATTTTTTTTTTTTTTTATCTGATCCTTTTCTTTTCTTCATGCATTTCAGGCTTTCATAAAACCCAGAAAAACAAAAAACATTAAATAATCAGAAAATAAAAAAAAAGATAAGAGGAGGAAACAGGAAAACGGGAGAAACCGGGAGTTCCCGGGAGCATTTTCCGCGGCCGCGATCATCTCAGCCGCGACCAAGCCCTCGTTTGCCCCGATCCACATGCCTCACCCACGACCAAACGCTCCTCCACCGCGGCCGGCCCTTTTTTTTGCTCCTAGGCTTGTTTTCCCGATTTCTCGCGAACCAGAACTTCAAAATCCAGATTTATCCCGGGATTGAACCGGGAAGTTCCCGAAACATAATTTACGTATTAAACACGCCAAGGTAAGTCTTCTAAACTTTTTAAAATAATTTTTTCTTAGGAAAAACACCTTTTTGGAAGAAAAAGAGGATTTAAAAGATCAAAAAGGGTCTTTCTCTTCATCTTCTTCAACAAGCTTGAAGATTTTGAGAAAAAAAAAAAAAAACAGATTTCAAACTTGACAAATTCCTTTCAAACTTGACAAATTTCTTTCAAACTTTCGAACTTGTATCACTCTTTTTCAAAGGAGATTCCAGATCTACCACATAACACTTTCATCAAGGTATGGATCCAAATTTCTCACATTTTCTTAAGAACTCAAATTTAGGGTTAATGAGTATAAATTCACCTTAGGATGATTGGAGATTGTCTTTGAACTTAAGACTAGACTTCTGGGTAGTTTAATTGCATGATTAAACACTTAGACCAGAAAGATTTGAAATTTTCGAAAATCTGAGATTTGAGACCTTGAGCAAATCGAAATTTGAAGATCTGTTTGATTCAACTCTGCAAATCTGGATTGTTTGGTTCTTGTTGATAGATACACAGATTATAATACATATGATTTAGAAATCTCATGTGTTGGACATCAGTATATCGAACTTGACAAGGAATTCTAAGATTCTGCAATGTTCGATGCATCTACAGCTTGTTTGTCATATGAATGTGTTTGTGATAGCTCTATAAACACCTTGTTCATAAAAATCGATGCAAAAGCAGCTTCATTTACTCTTTGTCTCGAGAATCTCGTCTTGCAGGTCATGGATCTCTCTCAAGTTTGACTGATTCAAACCAAGACGAGTTCTCATGCAAAAAAGCCCCATTCGTAGGAGACATATAACGCATTAAACGAGACACAACTGAGTGATGATGAACCCTTCTCCAACTTCATAGCCGCACAAAGGAGAATCTTTTCAGGAGAGATTGAGAGAGCTCCCACTCAAATATCTCTACCTCGGAAAGCTAAGTCTTCCTCTAGACCGAAAGTGAAGTTTTTTGGTAAATCCATTGACCCAGACATCAACTACTTGGCGCAGCTTGAGAAGCTGAAGATCAAGCTAATTCCAGCAATTGACTACTCAACTTTTGAGATGCTTGGAATCAGAGAAGATGTGATATGGTATCTTGATAGGCTTGGAATGAGATAGAGGTGGGCTTGGAAGCAGCCATCCTTTGAAGAAAGCATAATAGCTCACTGGTCTAGCTCCATGGCACCGAAAATGTATGGAGCAGAGTTTTCCAACCTATGAGAGCCACACCAAGGAGTTCTTTGCATCAGCTAATTTGTGCTAAAAGAAGAGAGCTACTCCTAGAGCTCTAGATGGCACACTCTCCTTCTCTGTTGGAGCTCATCTCTATTCTGTTACCATTTTAGAGATGTGTGATGCTTTGAAGTTGCCTTATTGTGATGAGATTGCATTGGAGAAAGATCCAGATTAGGATCTTTGGAAATTGATGGGTTATGGAGTTTATGACAAAAGAAGGTCCAAGGCATTCTTACTTTCTCACCCTGCTGTTCGCTATGTGCAAAAGCTACTAGCACACACTGTGTTTTCTCAAGCCAACCAGGCGAATATCCTCAAGCCAGAGTTGGTGACACTATAGCTACCTTTCGCAGATCATCAAAGGTTCCCTTGTTTTGTTTGCATCATTGCAAGGAACCTAGTGAAGGTTAAGCATGAGATGCTTACATCTGATTGTCAGGACTACTTACCAGATTTTGGGAGCATCATTACTTCGCTTATGGTTGCAGCATGAGTTGACGTTTCGGCTGAGACACCTCTAAGAGAGGATTGGTTCGATCTCTTTCAGTTCTCTAGAGACAGGACTATCACCAGGGCCAAGATGGACCCAATTGGATTCGCTTACAAGTTCTGCACTAGTACCACCGAGTACAGGGTCCTTCTACCTTTGGATTCAATGCCCCGTCTCCGAGATGGAGCAGACCCAGGATGGAAACCAGAGACTAGCGACTTCCTACCATCTTTGCCACTCTTACCTCTGACCATGAAGCAATATCTGGCTGCAAAAGCCAAGAGAGAGGTAGCTGCAAACAGCAGGAGACTTCAGCCTACACCATCTTCATCGCGAGCCAGTTGTTCTCAGATTAGAGCATCGACTAGGAGTGATGCAGACTTTGCAGCTTTGAAGAAGAAGCTTGACCAGCAAGAGAAGATCAACAAGCGCATGAAGAAGTTACTGAAGAAGAAACACAGGTTTGATGATGACTCGTCTGCCAAAGAGACAGATGACAGCCATGAGACATAGGCGCCTATCCTTCACCACATCATACCCACGGTTCTATCACCATTTTTCTTTTCTTTTATTTTAGACTCTTTTGCTTTTATTTCACCATCTTCTCACCAACTTTTTCACACTGGGGACAGTGTGATTTAAGTCTGGGGGAGGATGTTTATCCGTACTAATATATTTTTCTTTGTTTCTTATCTTTTTCTACTATTTTTAAAAAATTTCTATGCTTATTAGAAAACAAAAGCTACCTACGGAGGATATGTAAGCCGAGATGGATTCCGATCTGCCATACATGATCTTGTTCTGGAATGAGAGCGAGAGTTAATTGCCATGAACAAGTGATTAGATGATTAGGGTGGCGAGAGTTGGCTAATCTTACAAGTGTATATCCTAGTTTCAGAGTCATAGAAAATCCTTGCCTAAATTCTTTGAGTTTTAGAACATGAACCCTAAAGATGAACCTTGAAGACAGCACCGTTTTTCTTATTGTTTTCAACCGATTTTTATTTCCAGCTTTTTATTTCTCTGCATAATTATATTTAGTGACAAACCAAAACC